AACAACAACAACAAAGTGACTATGCTTCCATATGTTCCCCAGAGAGTCTTTGCATCCCAGCCATGTTTCTTTCCACTCTTCCTGGTGGGTTCTCACTCAGTAATGTTGCTTTTATAATGTTGCATGCAGTAATTTTAATTGCATTCTCTAATGACAGAGGAATTTGAGCACCTTTTAAATGTTAATTGGCTCTTTTGGATGGCATCTTTTGTGAAATATTTTTACAGGTCTTTTGGCCATTTTCTTTTGGGCTGTCTTTCTTACTGACTGAAGTAGGATTTAACATATTTTGATGTGTGTGTCCTCTGGTCAATATTACACATGTTGCCATCCATTCTGAAGAATCTTTCCAGGCTGGTCTTTTGATGGAACACAACAAGTGTGGTCTGGGAACTCCTCCCAGCAGTTTTAGGAAGGCCTCTCAAGAGAAGTGTTTGGAGAAGACCAGTCCAGGAAAGAGGAACCATATCAGCAAAGGCCCTGAGTCATGTTTGAGAGCAGAAAGAAACCGATATGGGAGGAAGAGGATTGTGAGGAGAAATAGAGAACCAGCGTCTCCTTCCACAGATGTGTGGAAGGAGGGAAGACTGTGGAGTTGGGATTTTCCCAGTGCTGCTTGTAGGAGTTGCTGCTCTTGACCCTGCGATCCTGCCTCTCATCTTGCCCTCCAGAAGCTGAAACTTAATGTTTCTTTCTGCCCTCTGTCTTGCAGGTGTGGTGGACACTGGCTTGTTCATCAACATGGCCGAGAGGGTCTACTTTGGGATGCAGGACGGCTCGGTGAGCATGAGGGAGAAGCCTTTCTGCTGACCCTGCAGGAGCAGGGTGTCCCACAGCCGAGGTGGACCAGCCTCTCCAGGAGCCTTTGCCTTAATGTATCTGTGCCAGATGGACAGTGGGTGGGGGGTGGGGGGTGGTGGCCTGAATCCTGTCTTCTGAAGTATTGTTATTAATGTCTTTTTAAAAAGAGAAATATAAACATATATATTTTTACTATTAAAAGCACTCATTTTTTAAAAAATATATATAAAGTAGTACTTGATTTCATGTTTTATATGAAACATTTACCAAAAAATGAGAAGGAGGGGACCGTCTTCTAATACCTTTGACATGAGCCTTCTGGTTAAGCTTCTGAATTGGGTTTGCTGAGAAATGAAAATGAATACTTTTCTTGAAACTGGTAAAATGAAGGACTCAACCAGCAGTGATTTCCTGATGCCTTACTGGAAAATTTGGAGTTTGTTTACTTTTCTGCCCCCCTGTTCTGTTATAGTTTTTTGTTATGATTATGTACATACTCAGTTATGTCTTAAGATCAAGTTTACAAAAGTCTGCGGAGTGGAGCAGTGTGGTGTGTAGTGAGTTGGAGTATAAACTGTTAGGAGAAAATGTGGTTGTACTTTGCTAAGGTCAGATCCCTGCTGTTGGAAGTTGTTAACCAGAATTAATTGCCAGTACTGTCAAAGCACTTCTGTGAAATGTCAAGTCCCCACCCCCCCTTTTTTTTTTTAATGATTATCTTTTTGTTGTTTGTATTTTTTCTGTTAATGATTATTTGCATGGTTTGGTGTCAGACATTGTCATTTCTTTGTGTTGTTTGAAGGTTGAAATAAAACAGTATGATGATTTTGACTCTGCTTTTATTATAAAGTCAGCTGTGTTTTTTCATTAAAATGCAGATCCATTTTGCTCAACCAGTTTCCACGTTAAGTACCGTGGAGTTGGCTCTGACTCATAGTGACCCCACATAGGGTTTCCAAGGAGTGTCTGGTGGGTTTGAACTGCCAATCTTGTGGTTCAAGCCAACTTTGCAGTTTTATAAGAGTTGGAATTCACTCCGAAATATTTCTTCTCTAATCCTTGGTCAAAATATTAATTTTGTAATAGAAGATAAAACAGATACACAAAGGCCATAAATCATCCCAAAGTTTTATATTAGTCAAACTCTTTAGTCATGGAAATTGAGATGCAGTAAAATGTAACCTAAATTTTTCCTCTGTATACACCAGCAGACTGTTTGCCTAGTAAGCAGTGGAGTACATAGACAAGAGCCTCCTAGAGAGAGGAAAATCGATGATCAATTCATTGAAAGCTCTACTCAGAAATAGGAGGATCTATCATGTTGTTAAAGGTGTTTGTGGGTAAGCCCCCACATTCCTTGAGTGGTTATTTCTCTCTACTTGCCCTTTTTTTTTTTTTTCCTTAAATGTTTTATTGTGAATTATGTGATAGTTTACATGGGAGAACATTAGTTTTACTTTCATTCTATCGTATATCGTTTCATTGCCATGGTTATAATCCCCTCCATGCAATCCTTCCCCTGTACCCCCCAGGTCTTCAGCACACAGTCGCTCTCCCTCTCTGGATCTAAAGTCTGGATTATTTGCTAAGCATACAGATTGAATAAGTACGGTGAAAGGATACAACCATAGCACACACCTTTCCTGATTTTAAACCATTAAACAGCTCCATGTTCTATTTGAGCAACTGCTTCTTGGTCTATTTGTAGGTTCCTCATGAGCACAATTAAGTGTTCTGTCATACTAATTCTTAATATTATTCATAGTTTGTCATGATCTACACAATTGAAAACCTTTACATAGTCAGTGAAGCACAAGTAAACATCTTTTAGGTATTTGCATGTGATGTTGATATTGTCTGATGATTTCTGCATTCTGTTGGGTCACCTTTCTTTGGAATGGGTACAAATACGAATCTTTTCCAATCAGTGGGCTAGGTAGCTATCTCCCAAATTTCTTGGCATAAACAAGTGAGCACCTCCAGTTCTGCATCAGTTTGTTGAAAGATTTCAGTTTGTATTCATTCAATTCCTGGACCCTTGTTTTTCACCAGTGCCTTCAGTGCAGCTTGGACTTCTTCCTTCAGTACCATCAGTTCATGGTTATATGCTACTACCTCTTGAAATGGTTGAACTGTGACCATTTCTTTTTAGTACAATGATTCTGTGTATACTTTCCATCTTTGGATGCTTTCTTCATCATGCAATATTTTGCCCATAGAATCCTTCAGTATTTGAAGACTTGAGTTTTTCTGTATTTCTTTCAGCTTGAGAAATGCCAAGCATGTTCTTCCCTTTGATTTTTTTTTTAACTACAGATCTTTTCTTTTCTGTCTTTTTAATGACCTTTTGATTTCTTATATGATATTCTTAATGTCATTCTACAACTCTTCTGGTCTTTGGTCATTGTTCCCTTTATAGACCTGTCTGTTGCTTGGCTGAAAGTTGAGCCACAGGGGTGAGTTCCTTTCTAGACAAGGACCTAGTAATGTGATCCCTCCCAGAGCAGTTGGTAGTGATAGCTGGCCACTATCTAATTCTTCTGGTCTCATGGTCATGGACACTAGTATTTGTCTCGAAGAGGCTACTTAACTTTGAACCTGATCCCTCTCCATGACCACCCCACATCTGTAAAAGCTGTGATTTTATTCCAGGGTTGTTGCTGGAGTCTACCGCCCTAGTGTTATTGTTCCCCTCACAAACTTGTGTGATGTTTGGCTGAAAATTGAACCATGGGGTCAGTGAGTTTAGTTTGAGGCCTGAAGGGTAACTAAGGGGTATAGTCTTAGGGGTCCACCTATTTGACCAATAAGCCTGGTCATTTTTGTTTTATTTGTTATTTGCTTTTCTTCTTCGTCTTTCCTCTGCACAGGGAGAGGACAATAGTAGTATCTCAGACGGTAGCTCATGCTTGTTTGTGGACTCTGTTAGTGGCATGTTTTTCATTGCTAGAGTCACTTGAATTGGATTTAATTTTGTTAAATTTAGGTATAAAGATAAACAACAAACTGGGTTTTTGAAAACAGCTGCAGTTTCCACATGTAAATTTGTAGTAGTTTCATAGGCGTTCACACCTGTGACTGAATTGCAGTTCCTTTGAGTATTAACATCAGTTTTTTGTTTCTCAGAATTTGTAGGAAACAAAAGGCTTATTTTAGGTACACGTGAATCAGGCATTTGCTCTGGAGGCAGATTATGATTAGATTCTTTAGTAAAAGTGTTATTAACTGTGGTCTGAAGCCAAGTTGAATGGAAAAACAGTTTGCAGGTACATGTGGTAAATTTGAGGGTCACGGGTGAACTGTAAGTTTGGTGTTTGGGAAAAGGTTATAACCAAGGTAAATTGTCACTTCTTGAAGGAGAGAATCACTTGGATTTGAATAAAATTGGTTCCATTTTGATTTCAAGTAGAACTTCTCAAAATTTTGTCTAGCTTCATTTATCAAACTTTTCCTGAGCTCCTATCATATGCCAGTCCCTGCTGGGTACTAGTGGGAGGAAGAGAATGGGGCAGCGAGATCAGACACCGCCTGTCTCCAGACACGTCCAGCCCGGTTAGAGACAGGCCTGTTGGTACAGAAATGCACTAATGGAGGAGCAGGGTGCACAAAAGTCAGATTGTGAGTGAGCCCAGGAGCAGTGAGATGGGAAAGTCATCAGGGAACTTTGGTGACGACTTCCTGCATGTTAATTCCATTGCCTTTGACTCTTTGAAAACATTTTTAAACAGTTTATGGTGGGGGAACAACCAAGTTAGTCAGTCAGTGTGTAAGCCAGGCTGGACTAATTGGAGAGGATATTCTTAGGTTGGCTAAAGAAATGCCAGAGATTCCATGTTGTGACTTTTTAATTGGAAAATAACTGGATGGAGTGCAAGTGTGGTGCAGTAGGATAAGTACTGGACTGCTAGTTACAAGGCTGGCGGTTCAAACCTACCAGATGCTCTTTGGAAACACTAACAGAGTTACTATGAGTCAAACAACTCAACAACAGGTGAATCTTCTAAGAGGATAATGTTTACTTGAAGAGGGTTGCTTTGCCTGAACGTGCTGTCTGCAGAGTAGTATTTCAATTCAAACCCTTCATGTGAAGGTGGTGGGGAGGCGGTAGGGGCATCATGACTTCTCTGAAGTTGCGTGCCAAGTACTGTTCTGGGCCTTCTGTTGTCTCGCAGCAACTTTATAAAACAAACTCAATGTAAGTAACTTGCTCAGGTCACACACTGAGAAACAGGTCAGACTTCTCGGACTCCCGACCTTGCTCCTACTTCATACTGGTTGGTTGTGGATTTTGAATAGTTTGTGTTCTTTGTGGCCAGTACTTGTAATTTGAGCCACAAGTAATTTATTAAATGTATTACAGAAGTTTATGTGTGGTTCATTTTATGTTTGTATGTAGGCTCATGGTTAGTTTCTGCATTCTCTTGAGATTTCTTTTGTGGGAGAAAGGAAAAGAACATTCCACATAGTCTGTGGTGGTTGTTAAGTATCGTTGAGTCAGTTCCAACTCATAGCAATCCTGTATAGGGTTTCCAAAGAGAGGCTGCTGGGTTTGAACCAACAACCTTGTAGTTATCAGTCCAGTGCTTATCCTACAGTGCTATACCAGAACTCCTAACTTAGGGTTGTTGTTGTTAAGTGCTTCTGCTTAGTTGGTTTCAACTCATAGCAACCCTGTATAAAGCTTCCAAGGAGCAGCTGGTGGGTTTGAACTACCTACCTTGTCATTTGCAGTCCGATGATCCTACAAATGCCACACCAGGAGTCCTAACTTGGGTGGTAGGTGCTTTCAAGTAGGTTCTGACTCAGCAACCTGTATAGGGTTTCTGAGGAGCGGCTGGTGAACTTGAACCACTAACCTTGCGATTCGAATTAACCTTGTGGTCTATTGAATTTATTGCCACACCAAGACTCCTAACTTAGGTTGTTGTTGTTGTTAAGTGCTGTTGAGTTGATTCCCACCCATAGCGACCCTATATAGAGTTTCCAAGGAGCAGCTGGTGAGCTTGAAC